ATAGACGAGTAAAAATACAGCGATTATAGTGATCAGGAAAAAATAACGCCCCAATACATTAAAAATTTGGAATAACATTAATTTCAGCACTGCCATCTGAAATTCTGGGTTTAAGTACATTTTATTAGAAGTACAAAAATGTAAACCAAACTCGAATCAAACAAATAGTTTCCAAGATAAACGACAAACAAAATGGAGCGTATAGTGATCTGGTAATAAAGATCCCCCTTAACGTGACAAATTTGGGAAAATATTAATTTCGGCTCTCCTATCTCAAAATTCTGGGTATAAGTAAAACACTTTAAGATAAATTCAAAAGTGGAAACAAAACTACAATCATACGAATAGAATCCGAGATACAGGCGAATCAATGTGGAGCCTCAAGTCATCAATTTCAAAACACCCCCCATTACGTGACAAATTTCTAAAAATAATAATTTAGGCACTGCCATCTAATATTCTGTATACAAGTAGACACATTAAAAGAAATTCATGGGTGATAACAAAACTTCAATAAGATGAATAGTTTACGAGACCGACTACAAATAAAGAGAAGGCTCAAGTCATCAAGTACAAAACCCCCCATTACGTGCCAAATTTCGAAAAATATTAATTAAGACACTGCCATCTGATATTCTGTATACAGGTAGAACACTTAAGGAGAAATTCATGGGTGCAAAAAAACTTCCAATCAGACGAATAGTTTAATAGATAGACAAAAAACAAATGGGAGCGTCAAGTCATCAAGTATAAAACACCCCCCCCTCATTACGTGCCAAATTTCGAAAAATATTAATTTCGGCACTGCCATCTGACATTCTGAATACATGTAGAAGTCTTTAAGAGAAATTCATGGGTGTAAACAAACCTCAAATCAGATGATTAGTTTCCGAGGTAAACAAAAACAATGAGAAGGCTCAAGGCATCAAGTACAAAACACCCACCCATTACGTTCCAAATTACGAAAAATATTAATTTGGGAACTGCCATCTGATATTCTATATAAAAGTAGAACACTTTATGAGAAAGACATGGGTGCAAACAAAACTCGAATCAGACAAATAATTTTCGAGATAAACAAACAAAGAGGAGCCTCAAGTCATCAAGTACTAAACACCCCCCCCCATTACGTACAAATTTCGAAAAATATTAAATTCGGCACTGCCATCTGATATTCTGTATACAAGTAGAACACGTTAAGAGAAATTCATGGGTGCAAACAAAACTCGGATCAGACGAATAGTTTCCGACATAGCCAAAGATCAATGAGAAGCCTCAAGTCATCAAATACACAACACCCCCCCCCCCATTACGTGCCGAATTTCAAAAAATATTAATTCGGCATTGCCATCTGATATCTGTATAGAAGTAGGACTTTTTAAGTGAATATCATAGGTGCAAACAACTTTCTAATCAGAGAAATAGTTTGCGACATAGCCAAAGAACAATGAGAAGCCTCAAGTCATCAAGGACCAAATCCCCCCCACCCTACGTGCCAACTTCGAAAAATATTTTTTCAGCACTGCCATCTGAAATTCAGTATACAAGTAGAACACTTTAAGAGAAACTCATAGGTCCAAACAAATCTCGAATCCGACGATTAGTTTCCGACATAACCAAAGATCAAAGAGAAGCCTTAAGTCATCAGGCATCAAGTACCAAACACCCACCCAATACAGCCAAATTTCCAAAAAAAAAATTAATTTCGGCACTTCCATCTGATATTCTTTATACAAGTAAAACACTTTAAGAGAAATTCATGGGTGTATACAAAACTCTAATCAGACGATTAGTTTCCGACGTAGACGAAAAACAATGAGAAGCCTCAAGGCATCGAGTACAAAACACCCCCCTCCCATTTAGTGCCAAATTTCGCAAAATATTAATTTCGGCACTGCCACCTGATATTCTGTATACAAGTAGAACACTTTATGAGAAAATCATGGGTGCAAAAAAAAGAATTCGAATCAGACGAATAGTTTCCCACATAGCCAAAGAACAATCAGAAGCCTCAAGTCATCAAGTACAAAAAAAATCATTACGTGCCAAATTTCGGAAATTATTAATTTCGGCACTGCCATCTGATATTTTGTATACAAGTAGAACACTAAGAGAAACTTATGGGTGCAAACAAATCTCGTATCAGACGACGAGTTTCTGAGATACAGGCGAATCAGTGTGGAGCCTCGAGTCATCAATTACATCCCCCTCTCCCCCCCATACATAGTAAATTTCGAAAAGTTTTAATTTCGGCACTGTCATCTGATATTCTGTATACAAGTAGTACACTTTACAAGAAATTCATGGGTGCAAACAAAACTCTAATCAGACTAATTGTTTCCGACATAGACGAAAAACAATGAGAAGCCTCGAGTGATCAAGTACAAATACCCCTCCATTACGAGCCAATTTTCGAAAAATATAATTTAAGGCACAGCCATCTGATATTCTGTATACAAGTAGAATACTTTAAGAGAAAATCATGGGTGCAAAAAAAAACTCCAATCAGACGAATAGTTTTAGATATAGACAAAAAACAAATGGGAGCCTCAAGTCATCATGTACATAACACCATTACGTGCCAAATTTCGAAAAATAATTATTTAGGCGCTGCCATCTGAAATTGTGGGTGTAAGTAGAACACTTGCACAACCAATCTGCATTCATACGAATAGTTTCCATGATAACGAGAAACAAAATGGAGCGTATCAGGTACAAAATACCCCCCATTACGTAAATATTTGGGAGAATATTAATTTCGACTTCTGGGTATTTCTGAAATTCTGGGTATATGTAGAACACTATAGGAAAAATTCAAAAGTGCAAACCAAACTGCAATCATACGAATGGTTTCTGAAATAGGCAAGAAACAAAACGGAGCGTATAGTGCTCAGGTACAAAATAACTCGCCATTACGTTAAAAATGTGGAAAAATATTAATTTTGACTTCGCTATCTGAAATTCTGGGTGTAGAACACTTTAAGAGAAGTACAAAGGTGTAAACGAAACTGGAATCAGACGAATAGTTTCCAAGATAGACGAGAAACAAAATGGAGCGTTTAGTGATCAGGTACAAATACCCGCCCATAACGTGACAAATTTGGAAACTTATTAATTTCGGCACTCGTATCTGAAATTCTGTGTATTTGTAGAACACTAAGTGAAATTCAAAGGTGCAAACAAAACTCCAGTCAGACAGTTTTCAAAATACATGAGAAAAAATGGATTATATAGTGATCAGGTACAAAAAACCCTCCATTACGTGACAAATTTGGGTAAATATTAATTTCGGCTCCGTAATCTGAAATTTGGGATATAAGTAAAACATATTAAGAGAAATTCAAAAGTGGAAACCAAACTCCAATCATACCAATATTTTCCGAGATAGACGAAAAACAAAATGGAACGTATATTGATCAAGAACAAAATACCCCCCACCTACGTGAATATTTTAGAAAAAAAATTAATTTCGGCTCCGTAATCTAAAAATTTGGTATATAAGTAAAACACTTTAAGAGAAATTCAAAAGTGCAAACCAAACTGCAATCATGCGAATGGTTTCCCAAATCGGCAAGAAACAAAATGGAGCGTATAGTGATCAGGTCCAATATATCCCCCCCATTACCTGACAAATTTGGGAAAATTATCATTTCGGCGCCGCCATCTAAAATTCTGGGTGTAAGTAGACCACTTTAAAAGAAATACAAAGGAAAAAACAAACTTAAATCAGACGAATAGTATCCGAGATAGACGCGAAACAAAATGGAGCGTATAAGGATCAAGAACCAACAACCCCCTCTTAACGTCACAATTTTTTGAAAAAAAATATTTTAGCTCTGTAATCTGAAACTTGTGGTATTAGTAAAACACCTTAAAAGAAATTCAAAAGTGCAAACCAAACATCAATCATACGAATAGTTTCCGAAATAGACGAGAAACAAAATGGAGCGTATAGTGATCAGGTACCAGAAGCCATTACATGACAAAATTGGGAAAATGTTACTTTCGACTCTGCTATCTGAAATTCTGGGTATAAGTAAAACACTTTAAGATAATTCAAAAGTGAAAACCAAACTCCAATCATACGAATACCTTCTGAGGTAGACGAAAAACAAAATGAAGCGTATAGTGATCTGGTACAAAATACCCCCCATTACATATTTGGAAAATTATTAATTTCGGCTCAGCTATCTGAAATTCTGTGTATATGTAGAACACTTTAAGAGAAATTCAAAGAAACAAACCAAACACCAATCCTACAAATAGTTTCAGAGATAGACGAGAAACAAAATGGTGCGTATAGTGATCATGTACAAAATAGACATTGTGTGACAAATTTGGGAAAATATTAATTTCAGCTCCGTTATCTAAAATTCTGTGTATATGTAGAACATTTATGATAAATTTAAAGACGTCAACCAAACTCCTATCAGACGAATAGTTTCCGAGATAGACGAGAAACAAAATGGAGCGCATAGTGATCAAGAACAAAATATCCCCCCACACACAACGTGAATATTTTAGAAAAAAATAACTAAATACAGCGTAAATTTCACTTTACGACGCCCCTATTCGTCCGATTTGCATAATTGTCACGGCGCTCGATGCATAAAGCATTTCGCCATCGCGCTATAAGCCCACATTTTTTAATTTGTTCTCGGAAGTTTGAGAACTAATTTCAAATATGCATTTTTGCTAGATTTTTGAAAAAAGGTCATCGTAGCGTATATTCTATTTTAAATTGGCGTCAAATGCCGTTTACAGATCGAAAATCGGACCATTGATTCAGACGTTATCGGTAATGTAAATTTTACTTATTTTGGTTCTGCCAAATGGTGGTTACAAATTGTACTAGTGTCGGGACAAATAGCCTTGAACAGGCAGGCTAGACACAAGAGAAGCCCATTCTGCAGACATCTACGACCAACAATCACTGCAGCGTGCAGCATTCGTCGAAATGTTACGCGTCGTCCATCGACAAAGGTTCTTACAAATGAATATTAAAGGTCGCAGAACGCGGCATTAGTGCTACTTTTCAGACCTAAGGGTGACAATGATGTCACAGACGCACACTTCCGCCACCGAGAAACTGAAAGATGCGCCGGACTGAGAAATTCCGACCGCGTTTTCACGTAGCGTACCTGGAGTAAACAGCATGCAGAAGTAATGTAGGGAAAATACTTATATTTTTTTTTAAAAAAGGTTATTAAAATTATGTAATAAAATCGACGATAATTGATAGAATAAAATAAGATTTTGTGAAAATAGCGAATGTAAAATAAGTAATATAGAACAAAACATAGAAAGAATGTGTGACGAAAAAACTGGATATTGTGTTAGGGCGGCGACAATTTACCAAAATTGCAATTTTCAGAAATGTAAGTAGTAAGACCAAAATTATGTAATTACATAAAAATCCAGCCTCTAATTATCGTAGTCTTCAACTATTGTAGGGTATGATTTGATTACAAATATTTCATGGAGTGGCGTTGTCTTTATATAAGATCTCGCAGTAGCCCTTCACATGGGACTCGATAAGAATTAAGACCTAAAAATGTAAACGATTTTCTTTCGCAGGTGAACCTTTATCAAAACCCGGATCCCTAAAGTGGGACCTGGCCAACAAGACAACGCGGGGGACGAGGATTGTGGAACGATGGATGAAAATGCTCTGCTTAATGATGGTAGATGTAAGTGGAAAATTGGATTCATATTGAAGTTCATGAAAAGAATGCCCTTGGGCAGTAGACTACAAATCTATAATAAAAATATAAATTCACTTTTAAAAACTAGAAAAAAATGCAATTTCTTCAAGTTCAAGTGGACCAATAACATATCTTCGGTGACCACCTTTGACATACAAGAGTTAAATGCTAAACCAGCAAACTCATGAAAGAATTACTTCAAATTTTAAAATATTTTTAAATTTAAAATGAATTTTAAATGCATTAGTTGTTAACGTCGCAAGTCCTCTAAATTACTCTTTAAGATTAAGGAGGAAGTGTCACATACAAGGTTTTTTGTTATTTCTTGTTTATCACTTATACAAAAATTAACACATACCACTTTCACAAATTTAAAAATTGTCAATATTCTCGATGTTCTATAGGAAAAGATGTTGATACCGTTTTCAAATAACCGCAGTGCGCGGGCAAACTAAAAGGTACAAAAATGGCAATTTTCAGAATGTTTCTTCTAATACTAACGATGATATACATATCGCCGCTTCAAGTGGCATTATATTCATTGAAAAGTTCTGTTACGTAACTAATGAACTTCCGTACCGCAACAGTGTATGCTCCCATAGATGCCCACGAATGAGGATTTTTTCAGTCATTTCAGCTGCCGCTGCTTTCCACTTATCGAACGTCGGTAACCGATCACCTCACTCTTGAGGTATTATCAAATAAAACACTTAAAAGTTTCAGCAAAAAAATATGTTCATAAATTCTGAACGACTTATCAATCAGAAACCGTTCGCTGCTTCGCTTCCGCGGATATGTTTTATCTATATTCTTGAACCACCAATTAATTACAGGTTTCGCCAATATTCTATTCTCATAAAGACGCTACTAGTTAAGTATTTGAACAAGTATTTCACTGTAAATGTCACAACTTAATCATGCATCCATTTCTTACAAACCACAAGCCACAATAGCAACCAACTACATACCTCAATTGTTCCATCTCTTACGAGTTGATACACTCTAAAGTTCTATATTTTCATTTCATAACAAGTTGAAAATTCGTAATTTAATATATCTGTAACAATTGTAAAAATTAAATTTCTTGACATTCATTCTCAAAAATTCTGTTTTGTGGCAACGACATATTATCCACAGATGTTCAAAACACTAGTAAAATCTAAACCCAAAAGACCGCTTAACTATTTTTAATGAACACGGGCATTTAACGGTCCTCGTTATGGTTGCGCTCTTCATTCGTTGTTTAATAATTATATATTCCGATTATAAATGACATCGTCGCTATATACATACATGAATTTGTAAGAGAAACAAAGTTAACAGGTCTTCGGTGCCAGAACCAGTCACGCTAATTACGCCCCAGCACCCCCTCCTGGCAATTCGCTGTGCACACGTGCAGTAGGAACGTGTGGACACCAGCGTAACCCTGACACTCTCCGTTCCTGAAGTAGTCTCACAACAAGCAAGCTCCCCCCTACAACCCTTGTTCTTCATAACTGGCACCGTGTCAAGCCATCATTCGAACACCAGAAGTCTACCGTTGGCGTAGTTAGTAGTATTTGCATCCCCTCGACCTCAAGCAGCCCCCCTTTGGAATTCTCAACACTGCAACCAGATTCCAGGTTTATATATGAAATAATGAACGTCATCTCTGTCAACTTCAGTTATCCATCATTCCATCATATTATGTTGATAGAGATGACTTCCATTATTTGTTTATTGAGTAATATCACAGCAAGTATTTTAAATTGTTTTTGTCAGGTCATCTCAAAAGTCAATTCATACAAAATAATGGAAACAGTTTTAATAATTCAAGTTTTTATTCTTCCCAACATGCACAAAAAATGTTTTTCAAAAATATTAGTCAATGAAAATAGTGTTTGTTAGGAGATATTCTGGAAATCTGGGAGTGAAATTACGGAGTAAGTCTTTGACAGAAGTTTTCTTTCAAAATCTCTCTGATCAAAAACCATCTCTTCTTTGATTATCATCATTCTCTTCATTGATCCTTCTCATTCTAATTATCTTCTTTCATTACAAATTTATATTCGAGGGACCACCTCCATAACCGTGAAAATTTACCATTGTGCAACATTTTACAACAATGTACATCAGATCTTATGCCAAATAGTTCACTGTTATTATAAAATGAAGCAAAATTATCACTAACAAAATTGAAATGTAAACACTTTGTTGCACAATTCACCCTTGCAATACTTACAATATTTCTTGCTGTTATAAACATTGCTGTTTTATACATAAGTTTTGATATTAAAAATCTCACACCAGACATTTTCCTATACAAGATATATGAGTGGCACTTGTTTGATATTTGTAGCATTTAAAATTTTTACAGAATAAATTTCTACGCACCTTCCATGGAATTGTTTAGAGACTTTTTTTATACAGCTTACCTTTCATAGAAATTCCAGAGTTGATTTTCTTCATTGATAATATCACGCAACTTCATTTCTTAGCACCCAACAACTACATTTGAGAATATTTAACTCAATATAATCGAGTTTTGTTGTTCTTCAGAGATTCTTTTGAGTAAAGGTAGGAAGTCAGTTATATCTTATTGGTAACCACAAAAATATATACAGTACAAAATTAAAAAGTCACTTCATTAAATCTTCATTTACTCAAATTGTACAAAACAAAACAAAACAAAACTGGAGGAAAAAGCAAAATTAATCTCTTTTTGTATTTAATAAAGAGAGAGATTTTGTTACATTAATATCATAAGATTCATTTTAGAATAATTTTTTGACGAATTGAGACAATGCAAGTTGAAATGAAGTGACTTTTCTCTTTTAAGGAAGATTGATAACACCTTCAATTTAGAAAATTAAACATTTACAAGTTCTCTGTGTTCATTAACTTCCGCTTCTTAAAGAATTCATGTTTGGCATGCTCCTTCTTGCGTGGATCCTTTTTGAAGAATCCAAGAATATTAGGCGTTTTTTCCGAGGCTCCTTCTTCCACATCTTCCCTAAAATTAAAAAATTATATCATTTTTTTTATGAATTACATGATGATACAGATATGTGTAATGATTTTATTATATTACATATTTATATTAGTACTAATGTGTTCACATTATTATAATTATAAGTACATGTCATAAAATTTTCTCGAAAAAACACTATTCTATGAAAACTAGCTCAAAATTCTGCATTTTCAGAAATGATCAAACACCATTTCTTAATACTTTTCGAACGGATAGGCTAATTGCATTCTTTTTTATGAGGTAAAGCACATTTTAGTGTATTTTTTTGCTTTCTAAAAAATTGCACGAATATAATTTCTTTGAAAGATATCTCATACCGTTATATGCACATTTCCAGAAATGTGTAAACATTATTGTATTTGAGAGTTAAAGTGTTTCAAATAACTTCAAATGATGTTTTTCGAAAACTCCAAATTTTGTCTGTGAAAATGTGTTGCAAATTTTGATTTTACAGTAGAGCTTTAGCGCCATTTTTTTTAACAATGGCTCCAACAAAATTGCCAATTTAGCACAACCATGTCAAATTACAAATGTGCACCAATCACATCATGTGATATACAAAGGTGTTTTTTTAAGCCAACAAGACAATACTGATCCAAAAAAGGTGCTAGCTATGAACAGATAATCTTAAAATTTTTTTATGATATTGTATCCTTGTTGCAAAACAAAGTGCGCAAAAGTAAATCTATTTTTAATGTCCACATATCTTATTTCTCTCGACAAGATATAAATGCCACTGAACAATAGATGACTTTGTAACTAAATGCTGTGTATTTTAATCATTTCTGGACATGTATCCACTTTTCTGTGGCATATTTGCATGCTTATTTCAGGGCTAAAATCTTCTATTGACTTCCCAGCCCTAATTATACGTAATTAGTGGCTTGAAGCAACAAAAATTGCTCTTTATTGGTCTACATTAATTGCCAATCAATCATCTTTCCTTTCTGATGACATTGCAACTTGTTTTGCATTTTGGCCTCACATTATGGTATTTCAGTACTACCAGAATATATTGTGCCACACAGATTGATTATTTTGAAGTTCATCAGACTAACAGCATTGAATTACATTACACAAGTAATATGACAGATGATACTGTCTTATAACATAAAATATCAGAATTCCCATCACATGTATTCAAAACCACTGAATTTTACTGTATATTTGATACTAGCTATATTAGAGCTGATATATTTTCACTTCTTGTAATACTCATACATGTAATTTCAAGAGTAATATTTTATTTGACAGCATAGAATTACAAAGTGCAATTTAGTACCACAGGTAGCACTACTTTTGCTCTTTAAATAATCATGTTACATAATTATATGTATATTATAGTCTTAATAATAATTTATTGAGGGAGATAAGAGGGGACACAGAGAACACACAAAGTTGGAGCAGACTTTGTGTGCTTCACCATAGACATTTTCTTTCAGGACTGGGACAAGTTGCCCCAGGTGTAGAGAGATTACCATAAGAAGGGACTGCTTTGACAGCTACTGCTCGCAATATGACAGTAAGCTATGTCCATGCACTTGTTTGGCCAGTGCTTTTTATTACAGGTGGCTCTTCTGTAATCTGGATTCATCACTATTTCTTGCAATGTCATCACCTTGCATGATGTTAATTTTTTTCACGACCAGTCAAAGTAGACACTTCTTAGAGTAACTCCCCTATATATTTACACCTGGACTCTCCTACCAATATGCAATTAAAATAGTGCGGGATGTTTGAAGTAGGATAAACTTATACTTTCATTTTCTAACTTGAACATTTATTTTTGTTATTACTTACCATTCAGTACAAAATGATTCATCTTCAAGAATTTTGTCTGCCGTGGACCAACTAAACCGTACCAACTGCGGAAATCCAAAAATCTTATCCAAATTTCCTTTTAGAAATTTTTTTGTAACAGGATCTAAACAATAACAATTTAACAAATAAAAATTTTACAAAACTGAAGATAATTTTTTTAAATAACACTTTTTTGTGATTGAGGGCATCTTACAAGTTGAATGTATCAATAAACATAGCTTTATTGGATTTCAAAGGCTATACATTAAGATGCAACCTTCAAAAATTCATTCAACAAAAATCTACTTCAAATTGGAATAAAAGAAGAAAAAATGTTGAAGGGAAAATTAAGTTTGCTAATTTCAAAATGATTCATATTGCATAATTTCAACACATACAACATCTATAGTTATCATTAACTAGTGGGGCTACAACAACACATACTTTCTTACAATATTGCTAAATTTGCAATTTTCAAAAATTCTTTTAAGCTATCTGAGGGGGGGAAATTGTAATCAAAAAATTTGGAGCTATTTATGGGAAAATTTTGTAAATGTTGAAGAGGCTTCATGTAAAGTACTCCCAAAAATCAGAATACTCATTTCTAACTCAGAGAGCCGTGAGTTAATTTAAATCGATCAGGGTATATCAATTTTGGATAAAATTGGCTTAATGGTTTAGGCACTAGTGTCGACTACAAACGGACTGACAGACATTTTGTCATCAATCAATTTTTCAGTATCAAAGAGCCACAAAATATGGATTCTGACAACAATGTGTTGATTGACAGGGACAAGATTTATCCACTTTTTCATTATCAAGGCCCAGCAATACTTTCTCATCCCATGAAGTAGGCAGGGAAAGTAAAATATGGAGGATACTAATAGAAACAAATCTTGGCCATAGATGAGTTTCCACACTATGAGTCTACAAAATGTTTACTAACAAATTTCTTTTTCCTACAAGACTTTCTGTTGGATTATTTTATACATTATAATTTTATATTTATATATTTAGCTTTTCCGTAATACACAGTAAAATTTTGAAAAATGGTACCAAGCATTGTTGGCAACATTTAAAAACTACAAATTTTTACTGAAATAATACTGTTATTTCTGGAATTTCATTATTTCCATTACAGATTTTGCTTCTGGATGGTGCATGTTGCTACATGCATTCTTTGTGGAGCTGCCTCAGGGTATTTACAAAAGGAGCATGTCAATGCGGTTATTTTATCAGCAATATTATAAAACTAAACCTGTAAGATGTTTACCAAATAATTTCAATATTTTCTCCATGAAATTCTGATTTAATTCATAAATGTTAAAAATATGATCAATTAATCATTTTACACCTTAGAATAATTAGAATTGATAGAACAGGCTTTAGTGGTGCATCAGAACACAAAACCTTTTGGATGAAGTTTCTCTTTTGATTCTTAATTATGACACGAGTAGAAGTGCAGGGTGCCAACAACTTAAGTCCTTACCCTTGAGACACCATTACCAATGGCAGATGAAAACATAATGTATACCCCATTAGGGGGACTCCATAAATTTCGTATTAATGCTAAAGAGGGAGGAAGAGGTTTAGCGGCAGTGTTACGCTGTGCCACATAAGGATATTGAATTGATTTGATGCCTTATTTTACGTGGCGAGACTCGGGCCATCAGGTCACTCTTCCATCTGACCACGCAAAATTTGCTATGCTCCTTTTACCCACCAGAGAAGAAAGGAGGTATTTCTTGGGCGACGACACAGGCGATTTGAATTTAGCTCAGAGGTGTCACTTAGACTTCAGGATCTTTTTACATGCAAGTAAATATACTAACATGGGACAGCCGGCTTTACTTCCCCTCCGAAGGAAGACATACAAAGGATTTTTGCCGCCCTTAAAAATCCACGGTTTCGATCTGGTTTGAACCCGCCAACTTGGGTAAAACAGTCTGATATCATAACCAGGGTTCATAAGGATAGGGTGTTCTAGTTCATTTTTACGTAACATTAATAATTTTTTTTATGTCTTGTATTACAACATTAAAAATAATTAATTAATTAATTTGATTTAAATCCATATATCATCGTGTTAAGGTGTAAATTCTTTCAATAAATGGAAATATTTTTCATTAATTTTTATTGAACCTGTAAGATTATGAAGAAAATGTTTAAGTGATATCAAGTAGTAAATTCTAGAACCCAATTAAATTGGAGCAGTAGTTTTTCACCCACGCATCATCCATGACGGCATGTGAAAGGATTGCAATAAAAAAATTTCGCTCCTCAGTGTCCTTCCTTCACTCACAACTTGACCTCAATCTTTTAGTTAACTGCAGACAGTATCACAAAATACTTCTGACTTTAACCCACCATGGATGAGTGTGACACATACGTCACAGCAAATAAGTTATGATATGACATAATTCCTGTCACTGCAGGTCGATATTTCTGTAGGTGCAAATGTATTCTTTTTGCAGAGGGGTCTAGTTCATCAAATTATTGTGCGATCCTGCCAAAAAAAGTGTTATAATATTTTATTCCCCTCAGTTGTGATTTTCTTTCTGATGCACCCTAATCATTGATAAATAGAATTCATGGCCTACATTGTTAAGAATTCAATTTATCTCAATGGTATATCTATAACAGATAATGCTAAAAGTAATGAAAGTTATTTAATTAATTTTATTATTTTAGGGGAAGCTTGTGAGGCATGAAAATATCTGTGTGACATATTCGTAACACTTGTCCTCCATAGCTTTTCATCCCTCTCCACAGTTTCATATTTTTTCAATTCATTCTATTGCAGAGTCGAAAAAATTTCAGAAGATTTTTTAATATTTTATCAAGAATACAAATCGTTTTAGACATACTATCGCATAATCAATTCAGTTGCTTGAAGAAGGCATGGATAGTGATCATTAGGGGGGCAGATTTTGACGACCAAAAAACATCGCCAAAAATGATCAATAAAATGCTCTTAAAATGTTTCAAAAATGCCCTAAAACCAAAGATAAATGACAAACAAATGTGATGAAAACAAGTTGGAGTAAGTGAGAGCATAAGAGTTCCGCGGCCAGAGTCAGTATTCACTTGGCTGCCCGGATGACGCCGTGTCCATGGCGAAGGTGCCAACTTTTCGGTCGCCATTCTGCGACTGAAAAGTTGGCTGGCTGGCTGATAAGTTGGAATAAACAACACAAGCAGTTGGATACGTTACTGATATAATCGAGGCTTTTTCCATTGGTACAAGTCAACTCACAAACTTAGGAAACTTTTGGTTTGGACTATTCTTAACTAGGAAATCTCTGCCTTCAGTTCTTCCGAAATTGGCCAAACCATCAATGGCACTGATAGGTGCCACACAAACTTTAGATTACATTATCATATGGTTATCATTACAATTTCTGAGGGAAGAATTTGAATAGGCTACTCAGGAATTCTGTGGAGAACATTTGTTAAATCTTGTAAATATGATTTGAAGCAAGAACCATTAAAATGATATTAAAATAGATGAAATCAGCAAAAAAATGCATTAAGAACTATGGGAAAAGGTAAAAAATGACTCATTAGTCGAAATTGACAAAAAATACAAAAGAATGACATAAAAATGGGTCATTTCCTTTTGTCATTACTTAAAATTAATTTCTCCACTTAATGACAATGTTCTAAAAATCCGGAGTTGTTCTTCATTGAAATCCGCCCCCTAGTGATGACAATACAATAGAAGTAGAGGATATTTTTATTGCACAACCGCGAACAAGCTAACTGACAAAGACACTGGTGATGAGAACACAAGAGGTCTGCTGGATAATTTGAGTGACAAATTGGTGAGTGATACTGAACCAGTTTTGTTTTCTGGGACGATTGAGAAATGGACGGGCAAAAATGTGTGGTTGCAGTTGCATCAATTTGGTGAATCTTCAGTCAAGCATGTAAAGAAGTATTCATCAAAAGAGAAAAATAAAACACATAAATGTCCGTCAGTGAGTAATAATTATCATATACAATGGAAATAAGGTAATACCGATAGAATGAATCTAAGTATAAGTCAGTATCACATACCTACCAGATGTAAGAAATGGTATTACACAAAATTGATGTAGCTCAAAAACACAGCGATGAAAAATGCTTGGCAGATTTACAAGACAGGAAGAAAAATCACTACACTGGAATATAGAAGAGACTTAGCCATCACATACCTCAGACGATACAAGACAGCTGTCAAACCTGTGGGTCCAACAACTATCATCAAAGAGAAAAAGGGGAGGCAAAGAGGAGTTTTGAATGACATTCACCACGATTAAGCTGATAATCTACTGGAAAATAAAAATAGAAGGTGTGCGAATGATGTATGCGTAAGTGTTGTTGAGTCAACGTGCATTAAATGTGACATTGGTTTGTGCTTGAAATTAAACATACCATTTCATACAAAAAATTATTAATTTTCTACTAACATCATAAAACCTTTTAAAAGTACTAAATAGGGAAGTGTTTGTTTGCTAGGGAAATTTGTTTGATACTGATACTGTAGTCATTATATCAAAAACGTGTGTATGTTTGTCAAATAAATGCTCAACATGTTGAATATGTTCTGTCTTTCATCCCAGTACAATTATCACCCCCCAAAGGCCAAGTGTGATGTGTATGTCACACCCTCCCACTCCTGATACTTCGATGATTGAATTGGATACTGATATGTGGAATAATATTTTAATTATTTTTGAGGGCTTTTTAACTAAAGTAGTTGGCTTTAAAGATGTAAAGAAATTCTAAATTTCAGATGAAGAATAATTACCATTCTTGGAGGGTTAATTATCATAAACTTTAATACACAACATGAATAAAATGAATATAAATTGTTTTAACAGGGCTATAATTCATTTTCACTACTTACATTTACAAGGATGGGGGTGTAGCAAGATTTACATCATTAATTGGGGGGG